CAGAGGGACAGTGTCCTCGTCGATGGAGCCCAGGCGGCCAGCTCCTTCAGGCTCAGCCTCCCCCGGAGGAGGGCTGGGGTGCACGGCCCTGGAGAGCAGCGCGTGACAACAGTGCTGTGTTTCCAAGCACCGCTGGTTTCTAGGTGTTTCTGGGAGCGCAGCGCAGGCTGCCTGCAGCCAAGGCTGCCGGCTGGGGAGGCTGTGTGCTCATGGTGGACACATCAGCCACGGGGCCTGGATGTGGCCCTGAGCTGACCTGGCCAGGTGGGGACCGGGGCTGGGGACGACTGTGCCGGCCTTGGAAGCTACCCACACCCAGCTCCCTGCCCACTGGTCCCTAGACTGCTGTCCTTCTTCCTGAGCCCAGCATCCTGGGCCTGGGCCTCGCACCATGGGGTCCCTTGCCCCTGTGTGCTGGTCGCAGCCGGAGCAGTCACCGGGTAAAGGATGCTCATCTGCTGTCCTTCAGGTGGACGTGTGGGTCAGGTTAATTAGGGGCTGACCGGCAGGATCTGGAGGCAGGCAATGTCCCTGCACAGGTGGCTGTAGCTGCTATGGGGCTACATGAAGGTGGACAGGCAGCGTGGCACTCAGCCGGGAGGGCCGGCGGGAAGGGGCAGCTGAAGGGGCAGTGCTGCCCTGACTGGCCGTACCTCGGGGGCCCAGCCTCCTGACTGTGAAGTGGGAGGGCCTTTCTGTGTCGGTCACTCCTGTGGGAACACGGTCGTCCCTCCGTGCGTGTGGCCGCTGTCCTCCACTGTCTCCTTCTGTGGCCCCTCCTCCCTCCAGGCCGTGTCCACCCACCCTGTCTCCCAAATGTCCCGACTCTGGCCAAGGCACCGTCTCCTCTCCACACTCTGCGACTGTTCCAGGAACTCGCTCCCTGGCTCCATAGGCAGCCAGGCCTCCTCTGCCCCTCTGCCTGGACACATAGACCTGCTCTTCACGCTTAGTCCTCAACACACACCACCACCACCACCACCACCACCACCCAGCAGGAGCCAAACACAGCCAGCAGGGACTCAGCAGGATCCGCCGCCGTGATGCTTCCGTCTGAAAGCTGGCTGTACCAGGCCCCGCACCGTCTAGCTGCGAGATCCAGTTGCAGCCGACGCCCATGCAGCCGTGCCCCTCACCAACCAAACACAAGGTGAGGGGGGGCTGGTGGACCCCTCCACGGTGCCCCAGCCCTGCCTGCCTCCTCTGAGGTCAGAGCACCTGGCTCCTGCTCCCGTCGGCCCGCACGCCCGAGACGAGACAGAGGGTCAGAGTGGCCCCTCCTGTCACCTGCGTTTGCTGCTCAGGGAGTGGCTGCATTTCTGTGTCCACCGAGGGGGGGAGGCGCCCAGCTGGGAGTCCTGTCCAGGGTGGATGGTCCAGGGGGGCAGAGGGAGAGTAGGGGTTCTCAGGGAGGGGTGCACAGGAGGTGGCCTCCACGTGCTCTGAGGAGAAATGGGCAGAGTGGGCCCAGGCCCCCATCAGAGTCCTTGTAGGTCCTGTTTACTTTCCGGCGGGGGAGGAAGAGACCAAGGGTCTGAGAGGGGCAGAGGGCCCACCTGGTTGCAGTGAGACCTCCCTTGGACCCTGCTGCCAGGGTTGGGGGGAGCCTTGGGCCCTGTGGCCCCACAGTAACTAGAAAAGATTCTTTGGGCTGAGAGTCTGCAGCCTTGGGGGTGGGGAGCGGGGTTTCTCAGGGCAGGACACCCGTAGAAGACGTCAGTAGAGCTGGCTGCCTGGCTTGGTGCCCACAGCAGGGCCTGCCAGAGCAGCC